ATCTCATGGATCAAATAGATATTTTAAAATAAATAATAAGGTGAATCATCTGTTAGGTATATTATGATGTAAAAACCAGATTTGTCGTGTTAGGTTTTGGAAAGAAAACCACGTGGCCATTGATAGGAAATTGTGGTGTAAAAGTAGATGACAGGTGTGTGTGCAGGTATGCTCACCCTCGGCCCGCGCGGCCGCAGACCGGCGCCTGCCCTCTCTGAGGTGACACTGTGGCTGGGCTCTTCCTCTGAGGGACAGCTCCGCTGAAAGGCAGAGTTTAAGTAAATGGATGACAGCTCGTGTGCTCTGCTCAGACTCTGGCCTTGCAGGTGCGGCTCTGGCACGGGGAGCCCCCGCCCGCATCGAGGCGCAGCTGAGGCGGGCGCCGGGTTATGGAGTTGGTTTGCACGCGACAACAGCCAGGTCATATTCTCTATTGAATATGACCAAAGTCATAAAACCCCTGAGTGGTGTCGTGTTCTGAGCAGTGTTAGTGCAAAGTTTTGGAAGTTATGTTAAACAAATACAGCACCCCAGGCCCAGGGAGTGCTTCTTCGGGGTTGCTTTTTGAACTTGCATGTGATTTCAACTTTCGCTACTGCTTTGCTTGTTTATAAGAAGGCATTTTATGATGCCATGCAGGAGACACTAGAAAGGGATAGCTGACAAGGAAAAAATTAAAAATTGGATAAAAAGTAAATGAATAATGTCATATTACCAAAAAGATGAGAGGCTAATTTGTGCCGACTTTTTGCTAATTTTGTTCAAGCCTCAAAATGAGGAGCTGTCACCCGCTCTGTGCGGCCCTGATGACAGTGCCAATGATCCATGAAATAAGCTGCCGCTGGCTTTGTTCTGATAAGAATGAGCAAATCTGCACAATGTTCGGCTCCCAGAATCTCATTTTCATACTTGCATGCAGGCTAAAAGAAATAAGCTGTTTGCAGGCTTGATTAATCAGACATTGGAGGGGTTTTTGTCTCTTTGATCTCTTTCGTCTCCTAGGTAACTTGCTTGACATTAATGTTGAGCTTGAGTAAAGACAATCAGGAATTGTCGACCAAACTGATATAAAAATTAAAGACCTTAACACTTTAAGTACTCCAGTAATGGTTCCGCTTTACTTCAGAAAACATCTGTTTTCATTTAATTAAAGAACAAAAGAGAATGGCATAAATATTTTTCATAGACCTATTATTCCATAAAAAGTTAAAGTATGATAATTGGTATTTTTAAATAAGTGCCTTGAAAGTGTTCAAAAGGGAGGAAAACTTCATAAATCTGTTACAAGCCAGTAATTTCTAGATGAGTGAAATATTTTATGAACTGGATAAGAAGTTTACAGTGATGTTAGATTAAGCTGTTCGGATCAGATGCTTCCCTTGATTATCAGCAAACTTACCCTAGAATGGCAAGATTTTGCAAGAAAAACTCACTTTATTTTGAAAGGTTGTCTTTTTAAAATCTCTCTCATGTTACAAGACGTGCCATTATATCTATTTTACAACCCAATATGATTTACACATGCTAAACCTGCAAAATTGAAAGGAATTAAAAAAATGTCACCATGCATTTGCTTGAGGTTATGCAGGCGCTTTTACAAATCTTCCAAGTGGCTGTAAAGATGAATGCCTCAAGGGCCAGCCAGGGCCCTGCTTCCCCAACCAGCTAAAGCCCTTATCTTAAATCCAAGCAAAGTACCATTAATCTTTTTGAAAGACCTTTTATGGCTTTTAATATATCCCAAATTAGAACATTTTACACCCTTGGTTCCTGAAATATGGTGATAAAAAGCCTTTAGAGCTTAATTTTCCTTACCGCTTGCTCTGACCAATTTGCAGTTCTTTGTGATAATGTTTAGACACCTTAATTAAAATGCAGCAAAATATTGGATGTTCTATATGGAAAATGCTGATACTTTGGCTGCGCATACAAAAAGATTCTGTATATATTTTTATTCATTTTAAAAAATGTCTTCCCACATTGTGTTGCCTTGGTTATCTGATGACCCAAAGCAGTTTTTTAATATAAAAACCATTGACCAAGCTTTTGTGATGTTTACATTGGCACGAAGATGCATTTTTCTTTTAACAGATGCAAATGGGAGGATTCTTATCGGCCAATATTATTTGTGTGTAATACGGAAACATAGCAAGATATTCCTTTATCTTCTGGAACTTGGGCTAGTCATCTTGCCTGGGAAAATGTGTTTCTTCCCACTGTCTCTTCCATAGAAGGTCTTATTATCCTTCTATATTTCCAAATATTTCTGTTCTTCTTCTTTTTTTAATCCTCAACAGGAATGAGTGTAACATTCATTTTAAGCATGTGAAGGACACAGAATTGATAGCACTCTCATCATCATAGCAAGTTCGAAACTGCTTTCTGTAAATGACACAGACCAGTTGAAGGGCATCCTACCTAACCTAGCTCAAGTAAAATAAACCTTTTATATAAACTGATCTTCTTTGACAGTATTCCCGCTTTGAAAGTCTAACCTAGTGGTTGGCTGTACGTAGTCCACGAAATCAGGGAGCCCACTCAGGTGAGTCAGTATGTGAATTGTGAATTATTCTCAGCAGGTTTATGCTGTGTCTTAAGCAGCACGTGCCCCATCTTTGCTGTGGTGCTGGCCTCCCTGTGCGGAACAGCAGAAGCCTGACCCTCAGGGTGTCTAGCCAGGCCGAGGCCTGTTTAAACGAAGTGACCTCAGTGAGTGCAAAAACGTAAACTACATTTTAATTTACAGTAGTTTTGGGAAATAATTTTGTCACATAGTTAGTTGTACATGGCAGAAAAGGCTCAGGTCATATTTGTTACTTAGAAGTATAGGCCTGATTTAAAATAGAAGATCAAGCAGTTGAGTGAGACTTTTCACTGGGCAAGATGAGACGTCAACTTTGCATTTCATGTGTAGTACCTAGGAATAGTTACCCCGAAGAACACAAAGTTTTGTACATTTTGGAGGTGGGGGCGGGGTGGGGAAGAGACATCATCCCTCATGAATATTGAGAGACCCCCAGTCCATCTTGAACCCAGGCAGCGAGTGGTGTCTTATGACAGCCACCTGTCAGGTGCATTCGCCGCCCCTCGTGGGCCAGTGCCCAGCTTCCCCGCCGCCTGGCAGTTAGGTGGAACCATGTCAGTAGCCCTGACCATAGGGCTGTGAGCAGAAGCCGCGTGGGTCACTTTCTCTGTCACTGTGCGCTGGTAGGTCAGGTGTGGAGATGGGGGCTCCCTGAGATGGAGGGAGTCCTGCATCCCCTGCCGACTTGACAAGGAATAAAGCTTAACCCAGTGACTGGGAGACGTGTGTGGTGTTGCATTTCTGGCTGGCCTGGCCCGACCACTGCTAGCTGATGATTCCTACTGTGAGGGCGGCCGCATAGCCTCCCAGAGCTGCATGCTCCTCGGAGGGGACTCGCCAGCGCTTTGACACTTTGCCAGCTTTTCTTTTCTTTTCTTTTCTTAAGTTGACTAAGGTGAATTTTTCTACAATAAAGGAAAAGACAACCAGAGAACTAAAGCAGTGGAATGTAACTCGCAGCCATCTCCCAGCCCCCATTAGAAAATTAGCTGCTTGTTGAGTGACTGCTGTGCTTGGAGGGAAGGGGTGGTGACAGCAGCTGCTGGTCCTGCCTTGCATGTGGAAAGGACTCTGGGCTGGCCACAACCTGCCACCCTCCCCTTGCCTCCTCTTCTGTGGCGCTGACCCGTCAGCACCTGGCTTGACATGAGGACGGTCCTGTTTGTTTCCATGTGTCCTGTGTGTTCTTCCCCGCGCTGAAGAACCGGATCTGATTCTGTTCTCATTTACTAGCCCCAGTCTGTGCTTGATTAGTACTTGTTTGTTTCACCCTACAGGAAACTGTTCTGCACTGTAAACTGAAAGAAATGTCAAGCTTGCCAAGCATCGCTCCTAAGCCAGCGTCTCTCCTTATACGTGTGCGTTTAACAGCCTGCCACACCTCTCTGCCAGCATGCAGACTCCCACAGCGAGGGCTGTGATATGTTGGCTTGAGAGTGGCTTTCAGGGCCCTTCTAGAATCTTCTGCAGGTGCTCTGTCCATTAATAAGTATAGGTTGAGTAAGCAACAGAAAAGAAAGAAACGGCACGCAGATTTTGGCCTTTGCTCTTTAACATGGGTTCTTAATGGATACTTTTGAATCTTCCAGACAGGCAGGCACCTTTATCATCGGAGCCCCCAAACTAGGGTTCATCATGCTTGCCCTCGGTCTGTATCCAGAAAGCTGGGTAGAACAGAGGAGGTCATTTTAGGTTATGCCATAGAAATTAAAGTAAGGGCCGGAGAAATACAGAACAATAGAAATACGAAAAAAAGAAAAGACCAGCCGGGGGGGGGGGTGCAGGGACTTCATTTTGAGGGGACCCAGGCGGATAGGTGAAAGGGGCAGCATGAACAGAAGCTGTGCATCCCCTGTGCATATTAGTGGGCCAGGGGCCGGTGCCGGTGTTCACCGTGTTCTTTCCCATCAGTCAGTGTTAAAAACTGTTGCCATCACACAAAGTGCATTTCTGAGGCAGTCATTAGCTTCCCATGTTTTATTAATCACATCTCTGACTGCCAATCAGGACTTGGATCACAGGAGATAGCCAGCGTGGCCACGCTGAGTTGCTGAGACTCTAGCCCAGAGCAATGGCACTTGATGTCTCTGTCAGCCTGCGCGGCCTTATCAGGAGGAAATTCCTGTTTGGCCTGCCGCAATGCCGAAATAGCTTCCAGATCTTCATCGTCACCCTGTGGGCCCTGCGGGGTGCCGTCTGGGGTGGGTTCCCAGCGCCGACTGGTACTAACGTGTGAGGGGCCCTGGAGGAGAGGGGCCGCGTGGCTGTGCTGGATCCTTCGGGTTCACGGGCGCCTGGACCTGAATTTCCGACGTGTAGACGTAACCTCTCACCCACACGCTTTCGATGTGTTTTGCTGTAATTCTTGTGTTAGCTGGAATCTTTCTCATTTTTTTTTCTCCTTTGTAATTCTTAGCTTGGGGTAAAAATTGCCAAAGCGGTAGCCTGCCACAACTTTGTAAAAGCCAAAAAGGACGCAGAAAATTCACAGGTTGCCAGGAAAAAGAAGAAGCTTGCTTGGGGGTAAGTTTGTTGAAGAATTTTAGTAGTAATCTACCAGCTTCATAGGAACTGCAGAACCCTGTGCTGGTATTTGTGGTAGAACCGGGGATAACTCTCGGTCACTTCAGTCGCTGTGTCCTTGCTGAGTGTTTACCAGAGGGGAGTGTGGAGGCGCTTCTCCACCCCGTTGGGTGTTTATTTTGTAATCTGTGGAGTCTGTGGAAGTGTTCTCAGTTGATTTTCCTTTGTGTTGGCACCATTAAAGTGCCCCTTCATGAATGAGTTTTTCTTATTCCCGAATGAGTTTTTCTGCATCTTCATTTCAGGTTTGAAGCAAAGAAGAGATGGGAGACCAAAAGCAACATGGGCTACATGTGACCGCCGCGTTGGCGTCCGCGGCCCGTGGCCGGGTCTGCGGCCCCCCTGTCCACTGCAAAGCTGGCCCGCTCCTGCGGAACACACTCAGGACGTTGCTAGAAGTGGAAACAATAAGCATAAAAGGAGGAGCTGGTTATCAACTCTTCTCAGTGCCTTCTAGATTCCGTCCCATTGAAGGGAATGAAGTGGCACATTCCGGTTGCTCATCTGAGAAATCTAAGCAGACATACAGGGGAGGAGATAAGATTTTACTTCTTCATGTTGGCCCCAGCACAGCCAGCCTCACGCTGCGTCCGAAGAGCGTAGCACGGCCGGTGGGTTCCTTGAGCCGCCGTATCTGTGCGCGTGTACAGCACTCTGCAGTTGCGTTGCCAGGACTGGCGTTTGTTTATAATGGATTAGTTATAAGTACAAGAAAGTCTCAGTTGATGCCGTCTTTACAAATGGCTTTAATTATCTTAATGTTATAATAGCAATTAGTTTTTTTAATGGAGGCAGTTACCAAGTAAAGCGATTGATTAATTTTTGTGTACCTTCAGAGAAAACATTTCAATAATAAAATATATACACATTTTTTTTTTCCTTTTTCTTTTTGGAGGGTGATTAAGTTAACTCTGCCTAGAAATGCTTTCCTAAGTCTCTCTCAGCCATGTCATTCTTTAAATTATGAGGTGGCTCTTGGGAGAGAAAATGGTATAATTGCATTATATTAAATAGGTATAGTTCAGACAGCAGCTTTAAAACTTCGGATGACATGGTTCTCCCCTGCATTCTTCCTTACGTGAAGGCAGGAAGAGGAGGCGGCGGGGTGCCGTGGGGCTGTTTTTCCGAGGCAGGTGTCCTGTCCTGATGAGGAGGTCTTCCTCACCAGCTCGCAGGCTGGCTCTTGTGCCCCTGGCGGCGTGTCTGGGTCCTGAGCAGCCCCGGGGCATCCTGGCCCCTTCTGCCTGCAGAGAGGAGCACCGCTCACAGTCCCGAGTTCACCACCCTTCCTCGGCCCTTCCCGGGTTATCTGAGAAACTTTCTCTGGGTTGATAATATGAATGCAGGAACAGAGAAAGTGATTCATGGTTCTAGTTATGTTACTATTATGATTATTACCATTTTGCTGTTAGACTTTCAGTGGTAACAAGATTTTACTAATGTATGGTGACATATTTGACATGTTTCTATGTTCTGGGATAAGTAACTAGTTGGTATTAATGAGAACCAAAATCTTTTTTTGCTTCCACGGGCATGAGGGAAACCAGAATAAAGAAAAGGTTTAGGAGGTTGTATAGAGTTGCTGATAGAGTTCATCCTGCAACGTCCTGACGAACTGTGTACCCACACGCCTCCCTCTTGTGCTGGGGCAGCCTTACCTGAAGTGAGTACAGTGAAAATAAAAAAAGCTGTTCAGACCAGGTGCCCGTCGATGCTCAGTGATTTACATTCCTGCTGCGTTGAGCCGACCCAGTCTCGTGTGCTTACCTCTGCTGTGTCCTTCCGGGCTTCTGATAGCTGGACCGAAACTCCTGCCTCCTTTCAGTCCAGTTCAGACTTTGAAGCACTGGCCACGGCTCCTCTGAGGAGGCTCCTCACACAGGGCCCAGTGCATTGTCCTGCGGCCTCTGCCTCAGTTTCCCTTTCCTGTATCTGTTTCCTCAGAGTATTAGTGACCCGTGCCAGTGTGGCCTCCTTCAGGGTCTAACTTGGGAGCCTTTGACCTGAAGTCCTGCTGCTGGCACCTCCCCAGCCTGGCCCGGGCCTGCCCTCCGCAGGGGCCTGGTGCGAGGGGAGCATTTGGAGTGTGTGGAAGGTGCTGTGGCAGAATCAGATGTTGTAGCGGACTCCCTGGGCCCGGGAGGTCCCCACGCCTTGCGGGCCTGGGTATGAGAAGCCCAGAGATTTGGCCTAGCAGAAGTGGGGGGCCTGGGACCCCCTGTCTCAGACTGGCCCTGCAGGCAGATCATATGGGGCTGATTTTATCAGCTTGCTTTGGCTTGAGACAGTTTATCTTTAATAAAATGGGAGCATTATTCTTATTCTTAGGGTGTCCAGGTGACTCCAAAAGTAGAGTCACTTAGCTGCTTTATCTAGTTGCAGCAAAAATTCCCCTTGGGGTCAGTAATAGCTTCAGGTCGTGAAGGTTCAGCACGTGGGTGTACTCCCAGCAGAAGGCCGGCCTCACTTAGTGATGTCAGCGCCGGCACGGCTCACAGAGGTGAGGACGTGGCGGCCGTCAGGACGACATTCCTGTGACCGTGATTTACTGCGTGAGCGCTGCAGGCCCAAACCGCGTGCTGCAGACTGATCTCGAGCTTCACAGCCCCGGTTCTGAGAGGGGGCTGGGGGTGCTGCTTTCTTGCTTACAAGCCCTCAGGATGTTTCAGGTTTTCAGCAGAACATTCTATTTCTTTCAGCAAAAGGAGAGTTTGCATATGTAATCTCAGCTTTGCTATAATTAGTTCTGATGACAGAGTCAAATACCTCGGCCAGAACTGTAAATCAGTAAACAGGTTTCTGCAACTGATCATAAATCTCCAACTTCATATTTTAAACCCACTTGAGAGACAGCTAAGGAGGGAGAGGCAAGCCATGGACAGGAATACAGTGTTACCTGGACTTGGAGAACAGCTTAGAACTCACATTTAAAATCTACAGATTTCGCTGATGGCGTAGTTTCTAAAATGTTATCTCTTAAATATGTTAACAGCTTAGCTTCCCTTTTACTCTGAAAAGACAAGTTTGAGTGTAATTCTCAAGACATTACAATTAATTTCCAAAATGGTCAAATTTTAACTTGTTAGGCAAAGATACAACTCTTAGATATAGTTGCCCTGCATAAATGATAAGATGCACATCATTTGCGTATATATTTTACATATATATATAATATGAGATTGATATTTAAGATGTCAATCAGACAGTTTTTGAAGAATGGTAAAGTGGGGGGACATGTCAAACGTGTCAGACTCCATTTTGGAAAATTAACTTGGTGAAACCTAGTAGTCAAATTCAAAACCAACGGAAACAATTCAAGTTTTTCCATGTTGGCAGAAGTCACTTTTATTTTTAGTGTCTGGCAGAGCAACAAATGCTTTGCATGTCAATTTTGTATTTTTTCAAGCCAACTGTTTATTCATTGGCTTAAAATTTACACTCTACTAAAGTCTTAGCCCTGACTTCCATATAACAAATAGCAATATTTGGACAAAATATGTACACAGAAGACTTTTTCCAAAACCAAATGTAGATTGTTATTTGTGGCATCAGTGCCTCTAATGTGGTAACGGGTCTGAAAGTACATTGATATGTCTCTGGCGTTCTAAACCCAGGGCAACATAGTTCAAGGAATTAATTTTTACTGTGAAGTAATCCAGCATCTTTCTAAAGCCTTGCAGGTTTACCTGAGTGAGAAACTTCTGCTAGAAAGTGGAATCAGTGCTAGGAAAATTTCAATGAACTGCTGAAACATTCCATTACCCCTGCGCGCGTCTTCTTGGCCTCTGGTTTCCTGAGACTGCCTGTTTCCATCTTTGAGACTGGGGTACGTTGGAGATTCTGACAGATTGAGCAGAACGGCATCGTCCACCGTCTCTGCCCACCCAGCTGCCCCCTTCTCCCCCCTCCTCGCCGCCCGGTGTGTGGCGGTCTGTGCTGCGTGCTCTGGGGCGGGCGTCTGTGCCCCACTCGGATCAAGGCTGCCCCAGCGAGTCTCTGGAGGCGCCGAGCCAGGCGCTCGTGTTGAAGTTTAAGTGCGCTGCTTCTCCCTCTGTCTCCTCATGTGGTTGTCCTGAGATTTGGGTTCTTCTGCTCCAGCTTCTTCCAGCCCGGAGGTGGTGTCAGAGTAGTGTCCAGACACACGGACGTGGGATCTTTGTCTCTGGGGTGTACTTGGGGCTTTTGGGGGGACCGGCTGTTAAAGGCCATGCGATGTGCTGTGTTTGTAGATGTGCTTGTGAAATGAATTGGCTGAGGGATCACACTCTTTTTATTAGGACTATAAGTCCTTTTCAGATTCAAGTAGGGAAAAGCACTTCTCAAGTGAGAGGGCATTTCCAAAAATTGAATTTAGGCACATGCCTTTTATATCCAGACCAGGTTTCTTTAAGAAGCCCAAAATAAAAGGGAATGAAAGGCTCCTGCTGCTCATTTGCCTGCTACCTGGCATTCTTCTAGGAGCCCCAGCCCACACCTCCGTCAGGCCCACGGGCGGCCTCTTGCTGACTTGCTGCCGGGGGCCTGCTGTGTGACAGGTCTGGAATGAGGTAATCTTTTCCCACCTCTAATTTCGGAAGGGTGTGTCTGTCCAGTTATTACTTGTTCATTGAACTTAAAGGTTTAGAAACCCACAGCTACAGTACAAGCTGTAATTATTGATGTCTGTTTCATATTCATCTGTAACTGCTGGCATTTGATCAAGAAGTTAATATATCACTTCATCTTCAGGCCGAATGTGTCTCAGCTATAAACGTTTTATTGTTTGATGGATAGTGTACAATTATGACTACCCCGAGTAAAAAGTGTTTTCATTTGTAATTATGAATGTCACAATAGTGAAACAATGAAGCCTTGCATTTCTTTGAATTCCTCCCCATATAATATCTGAGGCACATCGAACACCTACTATGTCAGAGACTAAGCTAATTTCTGGCAGATGCCAGTATGAATAAGCAGTCTGACGGGAAATACTCATAAGGCATGTTTTGTGTTTAGTAGAGAATCAGTGACTTTCTTTGCTAAATACAAAGAAATAATCTGCATGTGCTAAATTAAATAACCCAGCCTTACAAGCTTCACTTACCTGGGTATTCACTCTTTCTGGACTCAGTTTCCTAGCTGGGTACCTGGGGACAGTGTTACTGGCTTCGTGACTAATTGGCATGTGCTTGCCCCACAGAGAATGGAACTGACACCCTGACTTCCATCTGAGTCCTGGGGCTCACCCCAGAGGTGAGGTTCTCGGCAGGGCTGGCTCCAGAGAGACTACAGCTCTTTGGTGCAGTTTGGTCATTTTAGGCCTCAAGTTTTTCTCAGACTGGATCAGCGTGTCCTTTATGTTAAAATGTGTCACAGCACCACGTTAGGGCCATGTTCATTCCTGCAATAAATGTGCCCCCCACAATGGAATGACCCAAATCTAATCTTATTTTTTGCTCAGAGAACAAAGGAGCGTCTCCTCTCGAAGGGAGTCTGCTCCACACAGCCCCTCGGAGATCCAGGCTGACAGGGCCTCGTTGCCCTGGTCACCTTGGCGTCACCCTCCGGGAACAGGAAGGGAAACGCGTGTGGCGAGCACAGCGGCAAGTTCTGATCCGGCTCCAGGTGGCGTGTGTTGCCCCTGCCCAAGTCTGCCCTGGCTAGACCTTGGACCTTCCCACACCAGCTGCAGGGGAGACTGGGCCTGTAGACTGTCTGCGTCCCAGAACAAAGAGGAAGTGGATTTGAGTGAATAGCCAGCCGGGTCTGCCACAGGGCCTCAATCGCAGGTGACCTTGAAGCACTAACCGAGCTTCTCTCGGGCTTGATGTTGAATAGCACTGGCTGCTGTTTGAGCTGTGATGTGGGCATTTTCACTCGGCTGTGCTGACAGAGCTGATCAAAATAGCCACTCATATTACCAGGTAATGTGCTCGGTAAAGGTCCCAAGGGTCCCGCGTGGTGTCTCATCAGTGCTGAAGTGGAATTACCTGCTCAGTCAGGGAGGCACAAGTGAGACTGTGGTTGCCACCTGCAGCACGTTGGTGCAGGCTTCATGGTGGCAGGGGCCATGTCTAGCGTAAGTGTAGAAGGTAACTGGGACTTCACCCCGGAGACGACATGAAGCAGGAACATCGCAGGCGAGGGTACAGCCTGCCACGTGGGCAGCACAGCTGGCGTGGGGGCACTGGCGTTCGGGCGGGTGGAGGCAGCACAGGATGCTGGAGCTGGAGGCGGGAACCCACTTGCCCACAGCTCTGTGACACCCTCTGGGGAGCAGGGCACAGTCACCTGGATCTAGGGAGCAGGATGCGCTAGTTCACGTGCGAACAACAGAGGTTGGAAAGGCAGTGGAGAGAGGCCAGCTAGGTTCTAGCAGGAGCCTGAGAGGAAAGCTGCGTACTGGAGGTGTTTGGGTAGGAGATTTGACGAGACTTGCTGAGTTTGTTTTAAAGCCCTCCCTTGGTTCTCGTGCAGGTAGTCTGGCACAGGGTCTCAGGCCAACACTTTATGTGGGATAAAGGATTAAAAGGATGAATGGAGGGAGGGAGGGGTGGAAGGAGGGATGGGTGGAGGGAGGGATGGAAGGATGGATGGAAGGATGGATGGATGGATGGATGGATAGAACCTAGTCCTTACAGTTAAACCCCTTGTCCTTTCTTGATGACCTTATTGAATATTCATGAGTGATCGAGAACATACGCCATACAACTGTT